GCTTTAAAACCAAGCATATCTGCTGACTCTGTTGATTCTCTCCTTGATTCTTTTAACTCAAAAGTTAAGAGTGTAATTGATGATATTGCTCCTGTTAAAGTCAGGAAGAATAGTGGCAGACAAAAAGCACCTTGGAGAAACTCAACAGCTGTGCAAAAAAAAGACAATGCAGAAGAGCAGAACGCATGTGGCAGAAGACAAAACTTGTAGTCCATTATAACATCTACAAAGACGGCATCCACGCTTTCAATAGGGAACTAGGCAAAGCCAGACAGACTTTCTTCTCAAATATTATAAACAGCAATATAAACAACACACGCACTCTTTTTGCTACTGTAGAGAGACTGACAAACCCCCCAAGCCAGATTCACATTGAAATGCTCTCAGACAGCAAGTGCAGTGAGTTTGCTTCTTTCTTTTCTGAGAAGATCAATAACATCAGAAAGGTGATCAGCACATCCTTGAGTTGCTCTGGGGTCAGGCAGATCAGACCACAACCTGAGAAAGTAGTTACTATGTCTGATTTCGAAGAAATTGATGACACAATTTTGGTAGAAACCGTACAGCACCTTAAAACATCAAACTGCGCCCTTGACACACTTCCCACATCTTTTTTCAAAAGTGTGTTAAACTGTTTAGAAGCAGATCTCCTAGAAGTGGTAAATGCCTCACTTCGCTCTGGGAATTTTCCGAACTCCCTGAAAACTGCAGTTGTCAAGCCCCTCCTGAAAAAGAGCAATCTGGATAAGACCATCTTGAGCAATTATAGACCGATCTCAAATCTTCCTTTCATAGGCAAGATCATTGAAAAGGTTGTCTTCAATCAGCTGAACAAATTCTTAAGCTCAAATGGATATTTTGACAATTTTCAATCTGGTTTCCGATCGCATCACAGCACGGAGACAGCTCTCATAAAGATAATAAACGACATTCGCTTAAATACTGATACAGGCAAATTATCCGTGTTGGTACTACTCGACCTCAGGGCTGCATTTGACACTGTCGATCACGACATACTTCTTGACAGGCTGGAAAACTGGGTGGGGCTTTCTGGGATAGTCCTAAAATGGTTCAGGTCATACTTAAAAGGGAGAGGTTATTTTGTGAGTATGGGAGAACATAAGTCTGAGTGGACATCCATGACTTGCAGAGTCCCTCAGGGCTCGATTCTTGCGCCACTCCTATTTAACCTGTATATGCTCCCAATGAGCCAAATAATGAAAAAGAACCAAATAGCTTACCACAGCTACGCAGACGACACACAGCTCTACTTAGCCCTATCGCCTAACGACTACAGCCCCATTAACTCCCTGTGCCAATGCATTGATGAAGTAAACGGTTGGATGTGTCAAAACTTTCTGCAGTTAAACAAAGACAAAACTGAAGTTATTGCGTTTGGAAACAAAGATGAAGTTCTTAAGGTGAATGCATACCTTGACGCTAGGGGTCTAACAACTAAAAATCAAGTCAGGAATCTTGGTGTGTCACTAGAGTCAGACCTTAGTTTCAATAGTCATGTCAAAGCAATAACTAAATCAGCATACTATCATCTGAAAAATATTTCAAGAATTAGATGCTTTGTTTCCAGTCAAGACTTAGAGAAACTTGTGCATGCTTTCATCACCAGCAGGGTGGATTACTGTAATGGCCTCCTCACTGGCCTTCCTAAAAAGACCATAAGACAGTTGCAGCTCATACAGAACGCTGCTGCCAGGATTCTGAGCAGGACCAGAAAATATGAACACATCACACCAGTCCTCAGGTCTTTACACTGGCTGCCAGTTACATTTAGGATTGATTTTAAAGTATTATTACTGGTATGTAAATCATTTAATGGGTTAGGACCTCAATATATTGCAGATATGCTCACTGAATATAAACCCAACAGATCACTCAGATCATTAGGATCACATCAGCTAGAAATACCAAGGGTTCACTCTAAGCATGGAGAGTCTGCTTTTAGCTATTATGCCAGCCGCAGCTGGAACCAGCTTCCAGAAGAGATCAGGTGTGCTCCTACAGTAGTCACATTCAAATCAAGACTCAAAACACATCTGTTTAGCTGTGCATTTACTGAATGAGCACTGTGCCACTGTTCGTCCGACTGTTACTGCACTTCATTTTATTCTAAATAGTTTTAATTTACTGTATTTTATTTTTTTATCATAATTTTTATTTTTCATTATTTCTTATTTTTTATTCTAAACTGTTTTAATTATTCTGATTTATTTTGATTATTTTAATTTCTTCTATGTAAAGCACTTTGAATTGCCATTGTGTATGAAATGTGCTATATAAATAAACTTGCCTTGCCTTGCCTTGCCTCTTAGTTATGTGTATTTGTCTAATTTGTCTATATGTGTATTTTGTCTAATTGTTGTGTACAGTTGGGTCTGTAAAGTACTTTGGTCAACTCCTGTTGTTTTTAAATGTGCTCTAGAAATAAATATGATTTGATTTGATTTTGATTTGATCTATAGAAAGCTCGAAATTTGTACTTTTAAAAATAACAATTCAAATAGAAAGAATTCCACCATACAATATAGTTATCCACTTTACACACTTAGAAAAGCGCAACGTTTTATTTTGTCTCACCATCCTAGGTCGAGTTACACTACTCGTGTTACTGTATTTAAATAGGGAAAACGTGGAGGTGTTTGGTCGCTTCTCTGCTTTGCCCATATTGAATGAACTGGGCTAGATAAGTGCAATCAAAGTACCTCACGCGCCAAAGCAATTGAGATAAAAGAGGTATGTATCAACTCGTCTTAGTTAAGGGAATAACACAGTTTAATATGAAAAAAAAAAACAGTGAAGTATCCCTTTAAGCGAAACATGTTGATGAAGTCAACATGAAGTTTGTCTGTTGCTGTTAAAGGGATAATCCACCGGTTTTTCTTATTAAACTATGTTATTCCCTTAACTAAGATGAGTTAACTGTCTCGTCTCAGTGCGTGCACTATATCTCTCTGTCTTGCCGCGAAACTTTGTTAGCACTTAGCTTAGCCCAGTTCATTAAATATGGGCCAAAAAGAGAAGCGACCAAACACCTTTTCATTTTCCCTATTTAAATACAATTGCTTGAGTAGTGTAACTCGACCTAAGCTGGTGACACAAAATAAAACGTTGTGCTTTTCTAAGCGTTTAAAATTGATAACTATATTGTATGGCAGAATAGTGCTTGGGAGCACTTCGACTTGGCGCAGTAATATCATCACTCGTGAAAAGTCCTCTCACCGGCCCCCGCTCCCTCTCCTCCCTTTCATTTCCGTCAATAGAACCAACGTGACATGCACCTGTAGTAGTAGTTTGAGCAGAGTATATACGGTTATACTAATACGGTTTTAGGCTTATACTACATTTTTATTTCTGAGCTTAGTCCTTTTGTAAATGAAACAGTCACTTCTTATTGCCTGTCTCAGAAGCGCACTGATTTCACAGGTATGTTACTCAGCTAAGGTTACTGACAGTTCCAGGAAAACCAAATATCATGCAAAAGTACACTTACAGCGTTGGGTGATGATCCACTTTGTTGTGTTAGTGATTTGAATATTGTCGGTGTCGCCTCATCCTTTAGGCATGTTCCTGTGCAGGTATAGTGCTCCTTTGTGAAATGCTCAGAGCAAACATGCCAATTCTTCAGAGCCATCAACGGTGTTTTTGGATTCTTGTTCACAGCAGCTAACCGCTCTCTGCTGTAACGTTATGTGGTGTGTTGGAATTCTGTGAAAAATGATGGCACTATGTACATTCTCCTTGTTATCACAACCCTTTACGTTGCACGTTTTAACCACGATTGTCCACAAACTATCTTCCAACAACCTGATACTTCGTCAACTCCACTCAAACTACTACTACAGGTGCATGTCACGTTGGTTTTATTGACGGAAATGAGAGGGAGGAGGAGAGGGAGCTGGGGCTGGTGAGAGGACTTTTTACGAGTGATGATATAACCGCGCCAAGTCAAAGTGCTCCCAAGCACTTGCTATGGTATTCCGCCCTACAAAATAGTTATCAATTTTAAACGCTTAGAAAATCGCAACGTTTTATTTTGTGTCACCAGCCTAGGTTGAGTTACACTACTCGAGTAACTGTATTTAAATATGGAAAACAAGGAGGTGTTTGGTCGCTTCTATTTTTGGCCCATATTTAATGAACTGGGCTAAGCTAAGTGCTAACAAAGTTTCGCGGCAAGACAGAGCAATTTAGTGCACGCACTGAGACGAGAGAGGTATGTATCAACTCGTCTTAGTTAAGGGAATAATTTAACATGAAAAACAGGTGGAGTATCCCTTTAAAATGTTTTCTTTCATTCCTTGCATCTTTGTGTTAACCAGTTAAACTCCACAATCCAGTATCCGGGATACAAAATGACGTCAGTAATAATGTACTTCAAATTTAAAAATGTCTGTTATGAGTTATGAGCTCATAATTGGTACCATTTGAAAGCTTAGGATGTCTACTTTCTTGAGATATGCATCACTTTGGCATTCGTTTTACACTAAGTAACTTATTTACAATTAATTACATAGTTCACCCAACAAAAGCCGCGTCATAATTCATGTGCGTAGTTGAGTGCGCATATTTCTCATATCGCTCAAATATGACGCACATGTACAAATCATGTATCAAATAAAAGCTCTCATTGCCAGTAAGAAGTTCCAATAAGTCTTTTTATTTAGGTATAATCACATATCTTATACAGTTCGAATGAATCATGAGGTAAACTATCAACATTTGTAAACATACAAGTGAAATTATTGAATTTTTGCCCTGCTACTCGCACCAGACAGCACAGTTAGCTACAAATGCTACATCATCCTTTACCTTAGGCTATTCTCTGCAAAATGAGCCGTTTTTCAATGTTTTCAGTGGTTGCATGCCCAAGTAATCCCTCGCTATGTCTCGCGAGTTCAGTAAGTATGCAAAAGTAATGTTAAGATATTCAACAATCCAGGAAAATATGTAAACATCCGATCCGGATACATACATATCGCCGTAAAATTGGTGAAGCTAGGACCCAGCGGTTTTCGGAAATGTGTCACAAGGTAATATAGACCAATCGGGTGCTTTGTTATTGTAGCCTGACCATGGAGAGGGGACGTGCGCAAATCACACAGACGCGTCTCACCAAACACCCGAGCGAGCGCGCACAGATCTTTTTTAGCTGCTGAAATGGCTTCAGGAAAGGAAAAACAGCCACAGAAGAAGGTTTTTGTCGGCGTGCAGGCTGTTAGAAGAGATAGACCGTTTCTCTAACACAGATCCTGAAACGACGCAAGCTTTGACTCGGTGTGCGAAGTAGCTTTGAGTGGATCCTGACGTGGATAAGTAAGTAAATACTTATAAGCTTTTCAAAAACAAACTGAAATGTTCTGTGATAGTTTTTATAAACTTACAAAAATGTTTTGTGAAGTTATTTGTATTATTGTGGTGGTGCGTGCAAAACCAATGCGCGTTCTCCAATGCGCAAATGGCTGCGTTAGTGGTCCGTGTTTATCGTAACAAATAAACAATAAATGGACGCGAGTATTCAGATCTTTACAAGTTTATTATTTCGTGTTACAGTGTAAGTTGGATGGATTCCGCCTAGTCACGCAGAGAGGCAACGCCATTCTTTGTCCTCAAACACACCTGGGCACCCAACCCCCACCGACAATGTTGCACTGTGTGCATGGTGTCAAGCAGGACTTGCTTCAAGCGCTGGCACAGGCCTAAATTCATGTAGTCCAGAAGTTTGGACCCTTTCTTCACTTTTTTTTTTCTTGAAATCTTTATTTTTATTCAGTTTTTATTAATTTTTTTTTGAATATTGCACTTTATATTCCTTTGCACATTTTCTATTCAAATTATTATTATGCAAAAGATGTTTGATTTATTTGCAAATAAAAGGTAAAAACTACTAATGGGTCTCATTGCTTTCTTTGAAACATGATTACAAGTCCTTGATGGTAATATGCTTTGCAATGTCTTGATTTTGCACTTTTGACAGGTGGGGAACTTGAAGACTTGAATGACAAAAAAAAAGGTATTTTACCTTATCAAAAAGGTATCAAAAAAAGGTAAAGGCTTTAGAATAACTCTTCCTTACAATATGATGGAGACATAATTCTTTTTTCCAGTGTTTGCTGAAATGTGCTGGAATCAACCAAAACTGTCTGCATGGTGCTAGAGCACACATGGCCTGAGATATACACTTTCAAAAATGAATTTATAACCTAAAAATCAAAAAGCGTCTATTTTTGTTTTTGTTTATTATAACACAGACAACATACACTAAAATATTTACCACTTACAACAGTGTTTTATGAAATGACAAAGGGTTTTCTGTAAAATGACACTGGAATTTTGCATTTATAGAATTGCATATGGGTATGGATTTGGACTTTAGATTTGGGTAGGCGGAAATTACAACAAAAAAAGGTAATATTCCTCCCTTCAGATACATTTGAATAAAAATTAAATAAAACATGATACAGACAAAATTCCTTTTTCAGGTATTTTCTGACATCTAGAGGAAACAGCCAAAACTGTTTGCATGCTGCTAAGGCAAACAGGGCCTGAGTTATACTCTTTCAAAAATGAATTTATATTAAAAAAAATCAAAAAGCGCCTATTTTTTATGAGGGTTATTACTATTCAGACACCATATATTTAATTTTTTTTACATTTTTAGCAGTGTTATATGCAACTTCAAAGGGTTCCCTGTAAAATGACACCAAAACTGTGTATTTAGGCCAAAGTATGTGGGAATGGGAAGCTTTTTAATTTGGGTAGGCCAAATCCAGGCAGAAATTCCTCAAAAATGGCAAGGATTTTGCTCATTTAAGTGACTAAAAATGTCTGCGAGGTATTCAATCTTAGCCCACCACGAGTCATCATTGATCTGCCTGAGTTCATCTTGAAGCTCGTAGACACGGGAAAGCACCTTGCCCTGTGACAGCCAGCGCACCTCCGTATGCAGCAGCAGACTCTGAGGCCACCCTTAAAAATATTCTTGTTTGCCGTAACCCGACCGACCCTGTCAATTTAGGGCCGACCCAATTTTTTATTTTTTTTCCCTTTTAGTCCGACCGACTTGCCGGTTGTAACTTGCGTTCAGACCGACCGATTTTTTTTTTTTTTACTCTTCAAACGACTAATTCAAATTCCATAAAATGATATTTTAGTTAGTATTGTGAAAGTTGCTTATGTCTACAAACGTAGGCTACGTTCTTTCTTTTAAATAAAAACCCGTGGCGTCATAGTCATCTGATTATGTTTACACGATTGGTTTACCCGTGTCACACTGTCTATAAGGCTTATACGTTCGCTTCGTTTCATTCAGTGTTCCCGCTTGGTAAACCCGGTATTAAATGGGCTGAATATCAACCATTTCTATATATAATAATAATATTAAACAATTTGTCTGATGCAATTTTGCTATTCCCAGTCCAGAAGAGAGAGAGCGATCTCTCACCCGGAGCCACAGCGCGAACAACATGACAGCCCTGCTTAATGAGTGACAATGAGGACAGAACGTGGTTACCTACACTTTAGATCTGGGATATTATTCTAATTGTATTTTAGATTTCCGCTTTCAAAGATTATAAAAAGATATTTGAGATGAAACCAGACGCATTCTGTCTATAGCGCAACGTCCTTCCCTTCACAGCGTTGCGCTGTCATTTCTTCCTAAAACCCAAACGTACCATCAGAATCAGCACGATCGGTAATTGTTGTAAAATGCAGTCTGTACTGTTGCTAAACTGCGTACGGGTTCAATCATTAAAAGAGCTATTAAAAGCACAAAAGTCTGCGCAAGAGACGCTGTTCACAAGGTGATGCGTGCTCCGAAATGCACTGCAACGGGACAAGAAAAGTAGGCTATAGCCTCATTTTGGGCTTCATGTGCGCAGCTAAACTATCAAATATACATAAAATCTAAAATGACCTGCTCTGAGATTCATTTAAACACAGTTTATGTCTTAAATGGATGTGAATAGTTGGGAGGATATGGTGGTGCATCAGTCATCTGTTAGATCCGCACTCGGTCTTAAAGGGGCAGTAGTCTAATAAACATGTGACGATTGAGCCAGTAATGGTAATCAAACACAACAAAAGGCAGAGAAAAATCACTCGCAGCTCTTGAATTATTAACTTAAACTTTAATAAGCATTAATCTAACTATGATAAACCATGCAGTGTCATTTTACATTTGATTTACTAAATTAAATTTCTTTTCAGACAGCGCAACACACTTAACTGAAAAGTAGCTAATTTTAGACCTTTCTGAAATTAAAGCACTGTGTATATAGGCTAATTTGTATCTTTGTTTAATTGTATTCTTTGTTTCACCATGTGTTTGTACTTGTTTTTGCTTAGGCTATATCTCATGTATTTGGGGGAAAAAAAGCCTGCACACTGCTGCATAACAAATACAGTAGATATTTATTCATTTTGTGACTGGCCTAAAAACGTAACCACTTGTAGGTTGCAATAACACCTAGTGGTGGATGCACAGTTTGAAGACCCAGTCAGTGACGTCACAGTAGCCTATGCAATTAAAAAAAAAAATAATAATAATAATGATCACCATGACCAAAATTTTACTTTTTTTTTACACTGAATCCTGGAAAAAAAAATATAGACCTACCTACCGACCCTTTTTTAAAAAAAAATTGCTGTTACTGCAAACCAAAATATTTTTAAGGATGGCCTGATGCTTTGACCCCATTTCATTGCACAGTAGGGTAAACAATCGGGACTTCAATGGTCGTGACTTAATGTAGTTTACAACTTTGACAGCTTGTTCTAATGCTTGTTCTAATCTAACAGTCAGGTCTGGGGGCATTGCTTTTGCGCCGAGTGCTTCGCGGTGCAGCATGCAGTGTGGCATAGCTGTCAACCAACCCTCACGTATTTTAGCTCTTTTCCCGCTGTCTTCCCGGTTTAGTATTTTCCTGTAAAATATCCCGTATTTTCATGCTCTGATTGTGTGAGACATTCAAGCTCGGACAGATTCGGCTTGAAGTCGTTCATCCTCAGATGCGGCGCCACGCGCGCTGTTAGGCCAGAGACAAACTGGCTGCGTGGCGTGTCCGTTTTTATTTCAGCTCCCATGTTAACAGGTTAGAGCTTGCACACTGCCTGCATGACACGCGTCTCGTGCATGCTATAGAACCCATGCCGATGTTTAATATGTAATGTTGTACACAATGTTTGAAAGTCTAGGTTTTGACATGAATTCAGGATAGGCTACAATAACAACATAGTGTGTCTTCAGAGGGACCATCCACCATCAGGCTAAATATAGGCTCTTTAAAGGGGTCATGAACTGGCTTTTAAAATGTTATTATATTGTTGTCTGAGGTCAACTTAAGACGTTCGCTTGGTTTTTGCATTCAAAAACATCAAAATGAATAAGTAATAGGCTATTTTGTACCCAAGTTGTGAGTCTTCCTGAAAAACGGTCGGTTTTTATGGGCGTGTCGCGCTGAAGACTTGGAAATAAACGCCCACTGCTGTGGGTGGATAACAGTTTTGCATATTATAATGAGTTTTACTCACCCGTCGGTGTATGTGGGGGAAAACGTCCAATGTTGTCAAATGGCAACCGGATTCGCCCATACATGTTCGACCCAGAGTCCGTGTGTTGCACAATTCCTGTCAGATCCAATATAAACGGCATAGCACCGTTCTTTACTCTTAATCGGTCTGCAAATCCAGTCTTGTTTACAAAACAGTCCTCAGTGAAATGAAGCGAACAGACGACGAGGTTTTACCCTCATCAGCTGGAACGTCATTAAAAATAAAGTTTATCCATGAAGTCCTATTGGAATCCAGAGGAAGCTTATGCAGCGACTGTCTTCTTTCACAACCAGGCATTGCAAAATATTCTGTATTGCTCGGTAGAACGATCCGGTTTCATCACGAGGTATGTTAGGCTACTTAGCTATGCGTAATGCGCGAATCGGTGGGCGGGGCTAAACCGGCCGTGTTGAAGTAGGTGTTGATCTTCTTCTGCGGGGGTGGTGTTTTAACCCCTTCGACATCATAGTTTCCCACTTTTCAAAACGAGACGTTTTCAGAGGCTGGTGTAAATAAAAGCTTTTATTGGACTAACAAGGACGTTTTCAGTTCTGAAATTTACAGGATATTCTTATAATATGATTAGATATCAAAAGCTCAAGGAAAATCTGATTTCTCAGTTCATCACCCCTTTAAAGCTACACAAAATGTGTAAATGTTATTGAAATAAACAGACAGCCCACTTCCCTATTTTGCTGATTTTGGAAGATGTGTGATAACAGTTGTAATTGTTGTCGTAAAGGCAAGAGCAAAACACCGCTAATCCAAATGTAGATTTTTTTTTTCTTTAAATGACACACTGTCTCTTTCTCTCTCACACATATGTAGTAGCCTAGTTATAAACTCTTTAGACTTTTAATGATTAGTGCTTTATTTTTAAAGTTTGTGGGTATAATCATGTAAAATCCTTTATTTTTGGGATGATTCTGGGAAATCTCCCTTATTTTCATGTGCAATGTTGACAGCTATGCAGTGGGGTGGGTTTTGGTTCTTCACCATAGTCACCAGTCCTTTTACTTTTCCAGTCATAGGTGCAGCTCTATCTGTGCAAATACCATGACACATGCCCCAGTTTGCCATATTATTTTCAAGTATGTATCGATGACAATAAACATTTATTCCCCTGTTGCATGACTTGATAGTTCTTTGCAGAAAAAAAAAAAAATTCTCCATAATGAATTCCTCATCAGCATGTCTCACACTGGCCAGGAGATGACAGTGTCCACTGCAGTCCGTAAAATCATCAATCTGGAGTGCAAATTTGCCACTTTTGATTAGTTTTTCAGTTAGTTGTGTTTCTATATCAGCAGCCATGTCATCAATGCGACGTTT